GTAAGAGGGAACGTTACGATAATCAAACCGCTCTCGGAGGACAAAGTTGAACAACGATGATTCAGCAAGAATTATTTTTGAACAAAGAGCACCTACAACGGAAGAAATGATCAGCGGAATGAAATAACTGACTACTGTTTCAGTAAGCAATACTTCGATCGCGAATATCACGCCGGCAATAGGCGCGTTAAATACCGCAGAGATGCCCGCGGCTGCACCGCAAGCAATCAATAATGTGCGTTCACGGTAATTTAGATCGCTGATCCGGGCGGTGTTTGAACCAATGGCAGAGCCCGTAGCGACAATCGGTGCCTCAAGACCCGCCGATCCGCCAAGCCCGACAGTAAGCGTGCTGGTCACCATATGTTGATACGTATGACTCAGCGGTATGAAAGATGACCGGCGCGCAATCGCTTTTAATACCATTGCAATCCCTCTTTCAAATTGGGCACCGAATAGATAGCGAACTACCAGTACTGTCAATAACAATCCTAAAGCCGGGAAAAGCAGATAGGCAAACCTGCTGAGATGGATGTCCTTTATCCAATGTTGAAGATAGTGCACCATCGTTTTTAATAACACTGCAGCCAATCCTGAGAATAGGCCCACCAATGTAGCAACGATCATAATGTATTGAACCCTGCTGATCCGTGTTCGCAGTTGTTCAATGATCAGTTGATATAATCTCTTGATACGGTACATTATGCTTTATTTAATTAATGAAACGTAAAGATAGTTCCGCAGCGCTTGACCACCCGGAATGGCAGAACTACCATTTTCAATTTGTAAAACTGAAAGCTACCCAAGCTTCAGTTACATCAATCCTGAGGCAATCAGGAATGGACACTGTTGCCCGCTAACGCTTTGTTGATAGACGCGACAATTTTATCACCTTTCTCCTGGATTTGTTCTTCGGACCAAAGCAGGCTGATCGCGGTGCAAATGCAACGGCTGAGGATTTCATCACTTGGTTTAAAATCCTGGTTAGCCAGTTTCGTCACAGCTATTCGTTGTGCGTCACTCACCGGGTGAAGAAAGCCCGCAGTTTTTAAATGATCCCATTTGCGTATATAGTGCCAGTTATTGTCAAACCAATAAAAATTACCGGCGAGTATTCCCTGTGCTTTAAGATCGTCCACAACAGCTTTAGTTATTTCTTTGGTTGGTAAGAACCAGGAAAGAAAAGTACAGCTATCACCGGAAGGGTCGGGAATGCGACGGAATGAAACCTCTGGACATTGCGCAAGAATATCTTTTAATTTTCCGTGATTTCGTTTTTGTATTTCGAGGAACGAACCCAGCTTTCTT